CGCCTGCGGGCTGGCTGGCTCGACCTCTTCCTGTCGTGCCGCCCTGAGGGGAAGCTTACCCTTTGCTGCGCCGCCACGTCCTCCTGGCGTTCCATCTGGGTGCCTTCCCGGCCCGCGCGCCCACGGATTGCCCCCCCCCTGATTCCGCAGGCGGGGGCGCCCCGCCCCCAACTCCCAGCAGGGGGCCCCTCCACTCCCGGCGGGAGCGCTTTCCAAGCTGGGGGGCCCCCAGGCCCCCAGGTTGATTTCCACGGAGCTGCCAGGCCCCCTCCGCTGGAACCGGCCCGCCCTCCGCGCCCCCCGGCTGCCACCCTCGCTCCTGGCGGTCGCCCCCCCCCCCCCCCCAGTTCGGCGCCCCAGCTCTTGCCTGCCCAAGCCACCTTCGCAGTTTCCAAGCACGCTTCCCCCATCGTCGATCTGGTTTTCCCTTGCGACATCCGCCGCCCTGCACATAGCCATCTTGGCCTTCGACGCGAACTGGTAGCGCTCCAACTCCCGGCTCGCGGCGAAGTCCACCCTGCCTTTTTCTCCGGGGTACTTCGGCCCGACCGCCAGCGCCCCCCTCTCGACGTCGTAGCGGTGGTGGATGGTGGACCCCTTCCCTGGGATCTGGAGCCGGGCGGCGAACTGGCGGGCGCACTTCAGCAGCCTTGTTTTCAAGCGCCTGGGGCCCCCCCAAAGGCCCAGGGACGTGCCCCCGATCCCGCGCGGGGTAGATGGCCACGATGGTGCGCTGGTAGAGGGGCCCGACCAGGTGGCCGCGTCGAGGAGGTCCCGGTCTCCTTCCTGCCACGCCCCCGCGGCGATACCCCAGCACTCGTCACGCCCGCGGTGGAGTGGGACATGGGGGACCCCTCCCTTACCCACAGCATCCGCGAGACCCAATGATGCATAGCGCTAATCGTTGCCGGCTACGTTTCTCCGAACGATGGCAAACACTATGCGCCCGCCCCAATGCCATTGTTTTTTGGTCGCTCCAGTTGCGTAAAATTGGTGCGCGTTGCATGCGTTGTTCTAGGAAGTGTTGTGCATGTGATGCATACTTGTCAAAGCATGTCATGATGTCGATTCAAAGGAAAGTTGCGCATGCATGGCGTCGTTCGCGAAAATTCGTTGCCCCGCGAGTGCTCGGGGCTTCGGACAAAACGGCAGCGGGCAGGAAGGAGGAGGAGGAGGACGACGACGACGACGAGGACGAGGAGAGCTTCTTGGGATCCTCTTCGTGGGGCACTCTCGGGGCACTCTTGGGCCCGCCCGTCCTCGGGCCGCGGCCGCCAGCGCGCCAGGCTCGGGAGGGGCAGCCCCGCGGGCCACCCGCGAGCTGGCAGCAATCTGAGAAGGCCCCCCCTCGACCGGCTCGATCGCGCGCGCCTCCGGGAACTGGGCCGCGCGGCCGCCCCACGCAAACTTTTCGTCGTCGGCGCGGCAGAGTTGGCTGCGCCAGCGATAGAGCTACACGGGGGCACCGAAAAGCGAATCGCCCAGCATGCGAGAGTGGGAAGAGGGCAGAGCGGGCGGCTGCTGGGGTGGAGAAGAAAACGCCACTCGCCTCACGCACACAGGGAGTTTTGCGAGATGGCCCCTGGCCATGCCGCCCATCAACTCCATCAGCCGCGAATCCCGATTGCAGCCAATTTGGCGCGGAACCGAAATATCACGCCAACGGCGCCCACGCCCAGACGCAGCTGCGCCAGCGCCGCGGCCCCAGACAGCGCCGCGAAGCAGCCCGGCGGAACTCCAGGGCACAACGAGCCGAAGACAAAGCCGATAGGCACGTTATAGACGAACTTTTGGCAAGGGATGGACAAGGCACCGCCAAGGTAACACTCCGCCGCCGCGCCACTAGGGCCCCCGATCAACTTCGCGTCGGAGGAAAACGCCGGCGCCACTTCCAAGAGGCGAGCCACACCATCGCGAAGCCTGGTCCTGCTCTCCAAGGAGCAGGGCACTGCGCTGATCACCTCGTCAAAGTAGCCCATTGACGGCGCTCGCTGTCGCGCCACGGCGACGGGCGGCGCAGGGAAAACTGAGCGAGCGCCAAACGAACCACCCTGCGAACCGCCCAAACCAAGATCCGTCACATTCCCATGAATATTCCCTGCACGCAAAACACACCATCCTGAATCTGGCGATGGTCCGACTAAGATCCGGCATCGAGAGTAAAAAAGATTAGTGCCTGAGGGCCGGCTACGGCCACCATCTGATTCCTCTGACATTCGACTCGAAAGCAACAACGTCGTCTGCTTTTCAAAAACACAATGGTCACGAGGGACAGCTATGGACCATGTACGCGCACCCGATTTCTAATACAAAACAATTGTTCCGAAAGCGTGACATTTGCCGAACACACAACGGCAGATCATAAGTGGGGAGCGTTACGGCTTATGCAAACATGGCGCCGTGAGACATTCATTGTGTTCCGGCGGCACGTACGGAGCATGAGCTCGAGATGCATTTTTGCGTGCGACGTGGGACAGTAATTGGATTTCCCAAGAGCCTGCGGTAGGCGCGTAGACCCGGCCCCTGACCAACCTGCTGCGATTGGATCGCTTTGAGGAAAGACGGAGGTCGATCCCCGTGACTTCCGGGCGAACTTTGACCGCAGCCTCGGCGCCTTTTGCGCTGGTAATGGTCAAAGACCAAGTCGGCACGCACAGGTACCACAGCGCCGGTGCGTACCACGCACTATGGCCTTGAGCCGCACGCTGACGGACTCGGAAAAAGGGCGGAGGAAAGGACGGGGTACTGCTCCACTTGTCTGTGTACTCCCCCTCCTCCTTCTCCTCCTCCTCCTCCCTAAGTTCTCCTGTCCCTCCTCCTGCTCGTACTGCTGTTGAATTTTTCTCCCGCTGGTCATCCTGCTCCTGCTCCCCCTTCCCCTGCTCCTGATCCCTCTTCAGAGCCTTTTCCTCTTGCTTTGCCCTCGAGGGCCGATGGAGGACTTAGAAGAAAGTGGAGAAGTAAGGTAAACAACAAGTAGCGGGAGCATGAGAGAAGGGGGCTGACCCACTCGATCGCTGAACAATCAGCTAAACGCGCACCTAACCACCTAACTCAGAAGCAATTCAGCTAACCACCTGACGAACTATCCTCCTCCTGCTCCTCCTCCTCCCCATCATCATCATCATCATCATCATCATCATCATCATCATCATCATCATCATCACCACCACCACCATCATCATCATCATCATCATCAGCAGCAGCAGCAGCAGCAGCAGCAGCAGCAGTAGCATTCATCATCATCATCATCATCATCATCATCATCAGCAGCAGCATCAGCAGCAGCATCATCACCACCACCATCATCATCATCATAATCAGCATCAGCAGCATCATCATCAAATCATCATCATCAGCAGCAGCTTCATCATCATCATGATCAGTATCGTCATCATCCTCATCATCATCATCAACATCATCACCATCATCATCACCACTACCATCACAATCATCATCGTCATCAGCATCATCATCATAAGCAGCAGCATCAGCATCAGCATCAGCATCAGCATCAGCATCAGCATCGTCATCATTATCAGCAGCAGCATCATTAGCATCATCATCAGCGTCAGCATCAGCATGATCATTAGCATCATCAGCATCAGCATCGTCGTCATCGTGGTCGTCGTCGTCATCGTCGTCATCGTTATCGTCATCGTCATCCTCGTCACGATCAATTTTGTCATCATGACCCTTACCACCGCAATCACCATCGTCATCATCTGACACACTGCATTCAACACCATCAGCATCATCATCACCATCACCATCATGATCGCCCATCAGAATTGGTACTTGCTGACATTGTCATCATTGTCATAATTATCCTCGCCGTCACACTGCCCGACGCATCCCAAAAGACCTTGAACAACACGGAAGGGATGTCAAACCCTCAACACTCAAACTTTCGAGCGTCAGCCCGCCACGGCCCCCTCAACCCTCCGACCCAGAACCACTTCAACTCTCCAAAACGGACATTCGTCCAATCCCTCAAACGCAGACGCACCACCTGGGCAACCCTGCCGACCAACCAACCAATCAATCGACCAACCAACCAATCAACCGGCCAACCAACCAATCAACCAACGAACCAACCAACCAACCAACCGACTGACGAACCAACCGACCAACCAACCAACCAACCAAACGACCGACCAATCAACAAACCGTTCACCGAAGCAACAGGGCAACCAACAATTTACCAACCAACAAGCCGGCCCATCGGCCAACCCGCCAACTGGCCCACCGGTCAACCAAATTCTCAACCAACCAATCAACCAGCAACCAACTAAACACCTAACCAACAAACCAACCGAGAGCAACCGAGCAACCGGCCAACCAACCAACTGACCAACCACCCAACCAACAGAGCAACCAACCAGCAAACCAACCAGACACCAACCAACCAGCCAACCCATCAGCCAAACCGCCAACCAAACAAGCAACCAACCGACCGACCGACCGACGAACCAATTGATTTTGGCACAACCCTCATACGGATCGCGCCTCGGGAATCAGAAAAGAAATTGAACCCTCAGGAAAATTTTGAACGCTCAGAGAAAAATTGAGCCATCAAAAAATAGATTGAAACCTGCTCCCCTGGAAGGGGAGGTCTGAACACCCAGATGGGATCCTGGAGCTTCTGCAACTACGGCCGAGCACGAGACTAGAGGAATCGCCGTCGGAAGCCCCAGGCTGCCCGTCCTCCTTTTCCTCCTCCTCCCCATCCTCCCTTATGCCCCATCCTTTCTCGTCCTGCTCCCTCATCTTCCCCATCTGGCCCAGACGAGCCCAACGACGACGAACCCAACGACGACGACGACGACAACGGAAAACGGAAAACGGCCGACGGACGATGACGGACGACGGACGACGGGCGACGGACGACGACGACGACGACGACGACGCCAGCAAATCGAAGCCGGCGGCTGAGGCGCCGGTGAGGAGCAGCAAGAGCAGGCGCAGGAGGGGTAGGGGCCGACGGCTGGGGCGCCGTCGTGTACACGGGGCCCGCGCCCATCCCCATGCCCGCGTCGCCGCCACCCTCCTGGGGCTGCATGTACTGCATCCCCATGGCGGCCTGCCCCTTGCAGCAGAGGAGCGCGAAGAAACGTGGCAGAAACAAAACAAACAAGATAGACCTCCTCGTCCTCTGCCCCCCCCCCATCCCCCCCCCCACACCTTCCCCTCCTCATTATCATCCACATTGCAGACAGGGCGGGCGGGAGGGAGATGCCGATTCTTCCAATCTGGCCTGCGACATGTCGTAGCCCTGTTGCACGGAAGCCTGCATTCCCATGGCCTGCGCGCCACCCTGGGCCTTCGCATTATTCGTCGTCTTGCCCTTCGCCTTCTTGGCTTTGCTATCATCGTCTGTGTCCGAATCGCCTCGCAGCAGGGAGGAAGAGGAGGAGCAGGACGAGGAGGAGGACGAGGAGGAGGACGAGGAGGACGAGGAGAAGGACGAAGAAGACGACGAGGAGAACGAGGAGAACGAGGAGGAGGAGGAGGAGGAGGAGAAGGAAACCACCAGCCATGATATGCAGCCTCGCCCGCCCCCCCGCCAACCCCTGCGAAGCACTCTGCGACAGGGGCCGGCGGCCCCATGCAAAATACTGTCTGGGACAGTGAGCTGATTTTCCGTGTGTGGTGTTATCCCTGGCCATCGGTGCACATCGGTGGTGGACAAACCTCGCTTTAATAAACCTCCACTTAGTGAAAACGGCCTGGGACCGAAACCGACAGACCTGGACCCGCAAAAATGACGGCCGCGACGCCCTCTCGCGAACCGAAAACGGCCAATTCCTCAATCGACGTGTCAGGGTAGGAGGTCTGTCCATCCCCGAGTACAGTGGGGGTCCGACCACAAGAAACCTTCCGCAAGAAACCCAAAACCTGAGACCCCAAGACGTCCATCGACTTTTGGCGTGGGAGCGTCACGCTTTCCGTGGCAAGACCACCGAAGCCCAAGAAACCCGGGGCACCCTGGAGGAAAGCAGGGTGTTTCTTGACATGGGCCCCCACTGTAGGGCTATCCCTAGCCATAGGTGTAGTGAACTCAGACCACCTGGCCGACCTGCCCAAGCGTGGGCAGACCCCCAGGCCTGCCAGTCTGAGGGGATCAGGGCAGGCAATCGGGGTGGTCGCCCGCTCGCCGTACAAAACACGGAGCGGAGCACGACGCGTTGTCCTGGATGGAAACCACAAAGGTTCATCCTCTGCTCGATGAGCAGCATCGCCCTGAGGCCTACACAGCATGGAGATGCGATACTGGCAGCAAGTCGAACTCAAAACACTTACTCATGCGAGCTTCCTTGTGCCTAGCAGCAGTCTGCGCAGTCAATTACACACCGATGCTGCTCGAACACCCAGCTCGCAACTGGAGACCGCAGGCCGCGTTGTATTGGGCACGACCTGAGGCACGACGCTGATGACAATGGCAAATGTGATCGCAGTCACAGTTGATCAATGTTGTTTCGGGCAGCCATCCAAAAAGCCCACGATGATGCTCACCATCAGCTGTGGCTCCTTCGGGCGCCTCATGACATGCCGACCTGACCGCGGACGTTGCCCACACCTACGAGGCAAAGTGATTGCAGACGGAAGAGGAACGAATGGTACGTATCGCACTGCCAAGCTGAAGGAAGACCCAAGCGTAGCTATGAACTAACTCGTGGTCACCAATAGACATGAGAGCTGGACCACCAGACCGCATGACACGTGACACTGCCTGTCGGCGGCGAGCCCCGGGGGAACTGAGAAGGAGAAGGCCTTCTCAGAAGGCTCGGAAGTCCCCTGGACTTCTGAGAAGTTTCCCAAGCCTCCTCCTCCTCCTCCTCCTCCTCCTCGTCCTCCTCCTCCTCCTCCTCCTCCTCCTCCTCCTTCTGCATCCTGTATCCCCCCCCGCAGACGTTGTAGCCTTCCCAAGCCTTCTGGAAAAACCTCTCAGAAGGCCTGAGGGCTTGTGATAAGCCCCGCCGCATTCGGAGAAGGCCTCGTCCTTCTTGCTCCCCACCCTCGCTCGACGCCGAAGCTGGCAAGACATGGATGCTGAGCTCACGCAGCTGTACCAGACGAACATGAAACTGCACAAACACAAACTCTTGACGGCCCGCGCAGACTTCTTGGATCTGGGCTGATACCCCCCTCCCTGGCGCCGGCACCGCCAGGGGGGCCCATTGCCGATCCAAGAAGCCCACGACGACCGTCAGAAGGTTACTCCGAGTTTCTTCCTCAGCGTCGGGGGGGCGTCACCCCCGCCGACAGCCCCACATCGAGCCGTGTCGCCGGCAGCCGCGCCGAAGGCGCTCCGACCCCCGTCGCGGCGCGACGACGAGGCGAGGTTGACCCCCGTCGGGGGGGGGACCCCCCCACGCTTGCGAAGAAACCCACGGCATGTTCACGCCGTTTCCTGTTCTTCGGCGTGCCCGGGCGGGGCCGCCCGGCGGCCCCCGACGGGCGGGTCGACACTGGTCGGACCCCGGCGGGCGGGCCGGGCGGGCGGGCGCCGTCGCCCCAAAGGGGCACGGGGCGCGGAGGAGGACCGCGGGTCGAGGCTCCCAGGCTCGACGAGCGAGGCGGGGATGATGGCCTTGGGCGCGGGAGGACTGCAGAGTCTGACTTTCTCTCGAAGGGGGCATGCGTGTGGTGCACGCTGCGTCGTGCTTCGCACAGGCTCGTGGTGCAAGCTGCGCCTGGCCAGCGCTGGGGGGTCGGCGACGAGGCGGCGGCGGGTGCCCACCGCGCGGAGGCCCGGAGACGCAGGCCATCGCACGAGTCCGATCGACGCTGCCATAAGACGAAGCCAGGACGAGGACAAGATCAGGTGACGATAAATCGAGAATCTCTGAGATCTGGCGGCTCTGGGAATGTCTCGGGCGGCGCGGCCATTTCAGAGCGTTTCGGAACGCTCTGAAAGCGTTTTGAAACGCTCTGGAACGGATCTATCCTCGCCCTAGCCCCGCCCGACACCAATCCTACCCGACACGCCCACGTACGAACCCTTCCGCTCGCGAACCCTGCCTACCCCTGCGGGTCCGATGGACGCTGGGGCATCGGGCACACCCTCTGGGGTTCACCTGGCAGCAGGCATCCTTCCAATCTGGAAAGCCTCCCCGCAACCAGGGGGGCACAGGCCACGCGGCCGCTTGCAACCGGGCTACGCGCTCTTGGCCCCAGACATTGGGGGTGGGGCCCCGTGCACGCTTTTTGGAGCCATCGCTGCAGCCACCCGCAAGGCGCTGCCTCGAGGCCCGGCAACTGGCCGGCTCGGCGCCAACCACCACCAGCACGACCACCACCAGGAGATGCGTGTGGAGCTGGAGAGGAGGACGGCAGCGTGTGCGAGGGGCGGGGTGCCGCACCACGTCGACGCGACCTGCTCTGCCATACCTGGTTGCAGCGGCGCGGCCAAGGACCGAACCTCCCCTGCGGAACGTGTTCCGGGATCAAACGCTCGCAAAGCGGGTTCCGCTCGTCCTCCTGCGGCGGACCGTACTTCCTGTCCGTCGTCCTCCTTCTCTCCCCGCTCCCCCAAGAAGCATCAAGCACCAGAAGACTTGTGTTGTCGGGCGGACACACACAAGGCCATATATGCAAAATAGTTTTACTGATGCCAGAAATATGTCAAAAATGTGTTTTCCGAAATACGGAAAATTAGACAGCAGGGTTCTGCCTTTTCAGGCCACCTATGTTACCAAACACAAATAACCTCCTACAAACCACCAGAATACGGAGGATGCGCGCGCGTTGCGCACTGCGTGAGCGTATGAACTGGGCACGTATACGCACCATGAGTAAGTTGCAGGAGTGATGGGCGTCCGCGCTGGACATTGCCGTGGTCGTTACAACGCCGTTGCCCGAAAGTTCGGGCAGCGCCCGCTGTTTTCGCTGACGTCATGTCTTCGTCCTGCCTTGTAATGAACGAGAGACCGTTGGCGCCGAATCTTAGACGACAGTGCAATGGCTCACGCACTAGCGCCGCTGCCAAGGGGTGCATGGTGGACCGCGCGCCCCGCGCAAGCCGCGGCGCGCGCTAGCCACCCGTGGATCCGCGCGATTGCCTCCAAAGGCGTCGCTGATTGGATCCTTAGGGGGGGGTCGCAGCGGGCGTCAGTTGCCGCGGAAGCAAGGCCGCCGCCCAAAGTACACAAAATTGCTCAGCGCACGGATGCTCAAGCAATACGCAGTCCCCTTTCGCGGTTTCCATCGCGGGGCCATGCGCGCGAATGACCAATGTTCCTCTGGGTTTTCTGAGAAGACCTGGGGGGCTGGCGCTCCAGGGGCGGAGCGCCCGAGAACGAGGTAGAGAGGGCTCCTCCTCCTCCTCCTCCTCCTCCTCCTCCTCCTCCTCCTCCTCCTCCTCCTCCTCCTCCTCCTCAATAGGCCCGCATGGCCCAACTGACCTGCAAGGCAGCCCGGTGTGAGATCGGGCCTCTCACGGGGCCCGGGCGCCCGACGTTGTGAACTGTTCCACGGCGCGAACGACCAAAGGTCTCGACCCACTCCCAAGGGCTGGGCTTTCATCCTGGATTCCCAAAGGTCTCGACCCACTCCCGAGGGCTGGGCTTTCATCCTGGATCGCTTTTGTTCCGAATAGCGCCTCAAGATAGAGAGCTCCAGTGGAGGTTAATTCGCCGGCCAAACGGGCCAGAGGCGTCCTGAGATCTCCGGTAACTACTTGACAATATTTCTAGTTCGCGCGCGCGGGGCGGGGCCCCGGACGGAAAGTACCCCGGCCGATCCCCGGCTGACCCCCGGGCGATCCCCAGGGGGGAGGCTATTTTTCGTCACCTCTCACAAGGATCGTGGCCTCCGAGGGGGGTCTGCCAACGACTACCCCTCCTCCCGCCCCAAGGGGCCCCCAAGAGCCCCCCAAGAGGCCCCAGGGGAGCCCAGTACGCCGCCAGGGAGCCCCAAGACGCTCCCAAGAAGCCCCCAAGAAGCCCCCAAGACGGCCCCAAGAGGCCCCAAATAGCGCTCCAGGGCCGGCGGAATGATCGAAGCGATTAAATAATCATAAGAATAACAACAATAACAACAATAACAACAATAATGCTGGTAATCAGACTAGAGACGGGATACGAATAATGATACTGGAAGAATATAATGGTAGCAGTAGTAGTAGTAGTAGTAGCAGCAGCAGCAGCAGCAGCAGCAGCAGCAGTAGTAGTAGTAGTAGTAGTAGCAGTAGTAGTAGTAGTAGTAGCAGCAGCAGCAGCAGCAGCAGTAGTAGTAGTAGTAGTGGTGGTGGTGGTGGTGGTGGTGGTGATGGTGGTGGTGATGGTGGTGGTGGTGGTAGTAGTAGTAGTAGCAATAGTAATAGTAGTAAAAATGGTAATAGAAATAATGATAGTAGTAGTGGTGGTAGTAGTAGTAGTAATAGTAGTAATAATAATAATAATAATGATAATACTAATAATAATAACAATAATAATAATAGTAATAGTAGAAATGAACATACATCCAAATAATACGAAAAAAAATAATGAAGCATAACACCAGCAAACATAACAATCGGAAAAATGATAGCAATAATTGTAAGCAGAAGGATGAGCATGGAAATAATAATAAGATTAAACCTATACGAATGAAAATACTACTAATGGTAAGAGGAATAATGACAATAATAACAGTCATACTTATGATTGTAATCAAAAAATCGCTCGAGACTTCTCCTCCCGACTCTTCGAGGGATCCTGCTCTCGCCTTGATGTTGGCTTCATGTTTGGTCCAGACGGCCACAATCCATCGCAACTATCCTGGCGAAGGACCCCAGCAAATGCCTCGTGAAGACAACAGCTGTGAACATCGTCCTCGGTGGAGCTCCTTTTGGGGCCACGAAGCGTGCGAGCGATGCGCCGCAGTAGAACTTACGGCGGCCGGGGAGCCGCATGTGAACTCTGCCACTGGGGCCTTCGGTGGAGCTCCCTGTCAAGCAATCCTCCTCCTCCTCCTCCTCCTCCTCCTCCTCCTCCTCCTCCCTCCTCCTCCTCCTCCTCCTCCTCCTCCTCCTCCCATGACGCCGCGCCTGCGCGACACATCGGCCTGAGAAGCGCCGCTGGCTGTAGACCAGGGGGTAAAACGAGACGTGAGATGGGCGTCGGGCCACGAAGCGTGAGAGGGGTGTGCCGCCATGGGCACTCGATGGGCAGGGAGCCGCATGCGAACCCTGCCACTAGAGAGAGCCTGCGGTGGAGCACCCTATGGGGCCACGAAGCGTGCGTGGGATGTGCCGAAACGGACATGCGGTGGGTGGAGAGTCGCATGCCAACCCTGCCACTGGGGCCTTCAGTGGAGCTCCCTATGAGGCCACCAAACATGTGAGGGGTGTGCCGTAATGGATACGCGGTGGGCGGGAAGCCGCATGCGAACCCTGCCGCTGGGGCCTTCGGTGGAGCTTTCTATGAGGCCACATAACATGTGAGGGGTGTGCCGAAATGAACTCGGGGTGGGCGGGAAGCCACATGCGAACCCTGCCACTGCGGCCTTCGGTGAAACTCCTTATGGGGCCACGAAGCGTGTGAGGGGTGTGCAGAAATGAACACGCGGTGGGAGGGAAGCCGCATGCGAACCTTGCCACTGGGGCCTTCGGTGGAACTCCCTATGGGGTCACAAAGCGTGTAAGGGGTGTGCCGAAATGGACACGCGGTGGGAGGGAAGCCGCACGCGAACCCTGCCACTGGGGCATTCGGTTGAGCTCTCTATGGGGCCACAAAGCGTGTGAGGGGTTTGCCGAAATGGACACGCGGCTGGCGGGAAGCCGCATGCAAACTCTGCCACTGAGGCCTTCGGTGGAACTCCCTATGGGGCCAGAGTGTGCCAAAATGAACACGCAGTGGGCGGAAAGCCGCGTATGAACCCTGCCACTGGAACCTTCGGTGCAGCTCCCTATGGTGCCACGAAGCGTGAGAGGGGAGTGCCGAAATGTACACGCAATGGGCAGGGAGCCGCATGCGAACCCTGCCACTAGAGAGAGCCTGCGGTGGAGCACCCTATGGGATCACGAATCATGCGTGGGATGTGCCGAAACGGACATGCGGTGGGCATGCCAACACCCTGCCACTGGGGCCTTCGGTGGAGCCCCCTATGGGGCCACCAGACATGTGAGGGGCGTGCCGACATGGAGACGCGGTGGGCGGGAAGCCGCACGCGAACCCTGCCACTGGGGCCTTCGGTGGAGCTCCCTATGGGGCCACAAAGCGTGTGAGGGGTGTGCCGAAATGAACATGCGGTGGTCGGGAGCCGCGTGTGAACCCTGCCACTGGAACCTCCGGTGGAGCTCCCTATGGGGCCACGAAGAATATGAGGAATGTACCGAAATGGACATGCGGTGGGCGGAGAGTTGCATGCGAATGCCACTGGGGCCCTCGATGGAACCCCCCTGAAGCCACCAAACATATGAGGGGTGTACCGTAATGGGCACGCGCAGGCAGAGGCGCGGGTGTGAGAAGGGAGAAGGCAGGAAGGAGGGGGAGGAAGGATGAGTGAGTGATGAACGCGAGGCGTTGCCCCTTCCAAACGAGGACCCAACACCACAGGATGGTTGATCAAAACAATAAAATATACATGGCCGTGCTCTCACCCTTATCCCAGCTGCATCTTTTCTGGCTCAAGGCTGGAGGGCCGGCTCTCTATGCTAGAGGCAAACTCCACTCCCGCATACGCTTCTGAATCGGAAACGACCACACTACCGCATTCCGTCTCTTTGGGAATCCCTAGTACCTAGGAGTGCACGTTTTGACCAGCTGACCTACTTCTCGACCCGCCTGTTCACCTTTGCTGCTATTGGGGTGCTTTGCTGGGGTAATGAACGGTCATGGGGCCCAGCGAGGGCCCCGAAGGCCGAAGGTGGCAGCAACCCGTGCAGCATACCGTCGTCATGATTGTTGACACGGCGCGAGGGTCTCTGGAGGGAGAGGAAGGGGAGGTAGCAAGGGGGGGCGATGGGAAACCAGCTATGTGCACACTGCCTGGTGGCTTCCCAGGCACACCGAGGCGCCCTGCGACCGACCACGTACCGAACAAAAGTGTCACGATCCGCGGCAGAGACCGGCAGCACGCACTCGCTTTCTTGACCCTCTTTGCCCCCACCCGTACTTTCTGTCGCAACCCACCGTGCTTTTTGTTCGCATGGATTTCCTCCAAAGGAGAGGGAGAGAGAGAGAGGGAGAGAGAGAGAGGGAGAGGAGGGAGAAAAACAAAACAAAACAACAAAAAAGCACGGCACGTAAACATGGACTGTCGAAGCTCCCCCTGGCGGCCCCTCTGGACCTCTGGGGCTCCCCATGGCGGCCTCCTCTGCATAAACATCTTAATCTAGTGGATGGGCGCTGGACTCCCCTAGGGGTGGCGACCCAAGAAATCCGCACGGAGCTCCGCAAGTTCATGTGTATGCACTCATCTTCGACCAAAACAGGAGCGATACGATGTCTCTGGTCGCTCAGGCTCGCCTTTGTCGTCGTCCTCATCCTGCTCGCCCTCATCATCGCTGGAATCCCATTCCGAGAGGTCGATGTCGGGCCACATCTTCCACAGCACGCAGCCACAGTACGTGCAGATCATCAGCAGTACACCTCTTCCCCTCCTCCTCTTCAACATTTCTTCATCCTCCTTCTCCTCCCGCTCCGCCTCCTTCGTCTCCTCCCCCTGCTCCTCCTACTCCTCCTCCCACCCCTCCCACTGGAGACTCCGCTGGCAATCAGCCCGGCGCCGATCTCAGGCGCGGGATAGAAGGACCTCGCCATCAGCTCATCGAACATGTTCTCGGAGAAGATGTACCACGCCACGGAGCCAGTGACGTTCAGAAGCAGAACGATGGGCCAGCACTTGCCAGCGTACCTGAGCGACCTCGGAGTGAGCATCCCAGTCCACGCAAGACATGCGATGTGCAAAAAATACGAGATGACCAGAAGGAAGGCGATGCCGTAGGATATGCACCCAAACGTCATGTAGCTTTCACATTTCAGCCGGTACCACAAGCAAATGGGCGAAGCGCACACTCCACCAACGTTGAGCGCTCCGAAGTAGCCACAGGTATCCATGGCGATATCATGCCAGAACTTCGTAGTCTTCCCGCTGACACCAAAGAACCCCCATCTTCTCGGGGTCGCGTAACCGAACACCCCATAGTAGTTAGACCTCATCGATGGGACGAAGAGCGTCCCAGTCTGAGCCAGGATGGCTATGGAGGCCAAGATCAAGCAAGCCATGGATGTCGTACCGTGGTTGGGGCGACCCTCCTTTCTGCGCTGCTTGTATGTATCTGCCTTGAGCTTCTTGATCTGCCTCTTCTCGATCTCATCGATCCGTTCTGCCTGGGTCATCTTCGCCCCCATGCCTGGAGCCATGCCTGGGGCCATCATGCCTGGGGTCATCATGCCCGGGGCCATCATGCCCGGGTCCATCATCCCTGGAGCCATCATGCCCTGGCCTTTTCCGTCGATGCCGAAGTCGCCTGGGCAGCCGCCAGCCATGCCGTAGTCGCCGCCAGCCATGCCGTAGTCACCCTGGCCCTGCCCGTAGGCGCCGCCGGCCATGCCGTAGTCACCCTGGCCCTGCCCGTAGGCGCCGCCGGCCACGCCGTAGTCGCCCTGGTCCTGCCCGTAGGCGCCGCCAGCCATGTAGGCCCCGCCCCCCTGACCGTCCATGGGAGGGAGGCAGGGGCTATGCTGAGGAAAGGGGAACAAACACTGGCACAAACCGAAAACTTCTGAGGTCCGCTCCCTGGGCGCGCGGAGCGCGCCCTGGGCGGCGCTGGAGGCGCGGCCAGGGGGCCCCAACGCCGATCCGAGGAATCCGCGCGGACCTCCGAGCTGTATGTCTATGCCACTGTTTGTTCCCCCCAGAGGACTGCGCGCAAGGCCGCCCTCGCACCGCACGAAGCAGCGAGCTTTCTTTCTGGAGAGAAAACGCTGCGGCAGTCGTCGTCAACGGCGGCGGCGGGGGGAGCTGGCGCTGCCCCGAGGCCCACTCGGGCTATAGGGGGGGGCGTCCAGAGGGGGGGCGTCCAGGAGAGCGGGTTCGCAAACCCTCCTCCTCCTCCTCCTCCTCCTCCTCCTCCTCCTCCTCCTCCTCCTCCTCCTCCTCCTCCTCCTCCTCCTCCTCCTCGTTGGGTTCCCTTTCGAAGGCTTTGGCGTCACAGGGCCCTCCAGTAGCACGCTGTGAGACCTCTTGGGAGCCTGACAGTTAACCTTCCCGAACACCTCCGAGCACCTCTTGCATCATTCGGGGTCATCTTCCAGGGTCGGCGGCACTGGCATGGCCCGAGGCCCGCGCGCGGCCCAAGGGGGCCAAGGGACGTGATGAGATAAGACAAGGGGGCCGTGGAATCCGGCACGACACTGGGGAAACTAAAATGTACAGCTACCGCTACTCCCCAGACCTCGGGGTGCGTTCCGAGCAAGATTTCGAGGCGACTCTGGCGGTGGCGACGAGGGCCTCCCACACAGGAGGCCGAAAGAGTGGAAAACGCGTGAGTGGCAGCACTACCGGTACCTGTCCTCCTGTGGACCATGGCTCGGGCCAAGGTATCACCCCCAGCAGGAAGATGAATATACCAGAACTTCTAAAGTCGAAATGGCAAATCCTCCTCCTCCTCCGCCTTCTCCTCCTCCTCCTCCTCCTCCTCCTCCTCCTCCTCCTCCTCCTCCCCCTCCTCCTCCTCCTCCTCCTCCTCCTCCCCATCAGTCTAGAAGAGCAGAATACGGCAGAAGTTGCACAAACTGTCTGAGGTCTGGGCGGATGCCATGGATACCCAGTCTGGGCCCACCCGCTGGCGGCGTCTCCAGAGCCGCTCCTGGCGCGCGGAGCGCGCCAAGGATGTGCGCGCCAGGGTACGGGAAAAATGGGCACAGCTACCGCGTCGTCGTCGTCGTCTTTGTCGTCGTCGTCTTCGTCGTCGTCGTCGTCGTCGTCTCCCTTCAGAGGCGGCAGCACCGGCCGTAAGGCCTTCGCAGTGGACACAGCTACCGCGACCCTCCCCTCGCCGCCACGGCTGGATCGCCACGAGATCCAGGTCAGAGTGCGCCTCCAGAGAAGTCCCGGGAGCCGCGGTATATATTGGCACGTGTATGGGCCCCTCCCCCTGCCTCTGCGGCTGCCTGCCGCTCTTACGTGGGGCCCGACCGGCGTCGGCGTAGCCCGCTCGCGCCCCATCGACCTGTACGCCCCAAGTCGGGTACGATGCCCAACAGCAAGCAGGCGGCCTTCTGCCTCAAGTGGGCCACGTCCGCGGCGACACCGACAGCGAGTCCAGTCCAGAATCAGCAGGACACACCGTCGATCTTTGTAACCATTCTTTACGTACCCACTTGGATCGTCCCCGAGGGAGGGGGCCCAGCGCAAATCTTTGAAATCCGCGCGGACCCCGAAAGTTTAGGTGCACGCCGGTCTTTCTCCTTCGATAGTCGAGAGTCACCACCCCCCTCTTGGACGCCCTCGATCTGGGAGGGCAAGCCACGGCCTTACGGCAGGTTCGTGTCGTCACGACCCCAGCGCAGGCTTCTGACACCGCTTGGATCGTTCAACCTTGAACGATCGGCGACTTTCCGATCGCCAGATCGTTCCATGCTAGCCGATTCTGGGCCGCTGGAGGTGTTCAGCCTTGAACGCCCGCGGCGGGGTCGCCGACGCATCGACACGACCTGAACCTGCCGTGCCCTGCCGTGCACGGGCACAAGGGGTCACCGCACCGACATTGCAGACGTGCTGCAAAGGATTCTTGCGTGGATTTCTGTCGATGCAAAACTACGAGAAGGCGAGCCAAAAACGAAAGACATTTCGCGTGGATCTTGTTTGTTTTCACTCCTGGCCAAACAAATCCGCACAAAATTCACCCCGAAATCCACAACGAGTTTCTCCAGGACCCTCTGCGCCCATCCTATCGCTTTCCGAACGGAATCCGCTCTGCGATGTTGGCGCCATGACAGGGGGGCGAGGTACGGGCGCGCTGAGCGCGGCGGCGGCGCAGGGGGAGACTGGACCGGGCGAGAGACGGGCACGCAGAGGGCAGCCGCACCACCACCACTGCCCCGACATGCCCGCTCGAGTCGAGGAAGGAAGCACGGCGCAAGGCTTCTGGCCATCTTCGGCCTCTGGGGGCCCTCGCCAGGTTCCGGGACCGTCAAGGCGGGCTCGGGATGAAAGGCTGGTCCGGGGGAGTGGGTCGAGGCCTCTGGGTTGTGAAAGAATGTCTGGGCAGGAGGCCCACAAACGACGCACTCACCCAGCCATGTGCATGAGTGCGGCTCCCCAGTCCGCGAGGCAACCCTCGTGTTACGAGCGCTCTTGCAGCGTATAGCACCGAATCCCGCGGAAATGCATGCCCTACACGTGCGTGCTGCTTTCGCACCCGAACCACCGTGCCTGGCTGGGGCCGCGTCTGCGCCCTCCTGGCAGGGGCCAGGAGGGTCTATGCACACCATTGCAGGGCTCCCTCGAGCTCATCCCTGTCACTAAGATTGACAAGCTCAAAGGCGATGACAATCTTAAGGATGCGCCCTCAGAAGCGGAGGGAATCCTCAAGATCGGCGTCGAGATCAGGCGATACCAGCCATCGGCATAAGGATATGTTTCAGGCCGGTCACAAGCGCGGTGGTGGTGTATCCGCCACCACGCCCCCTGAAAGGAGCAAAAAAATCGTCGTAAACAGCAACTGTCGGAGGTCTGCGCGGACCTCCGAAGGCTCGTGCCTCTGCCGTCGTCTGCTTGGTCTGCCCCTGGCACGTCGAGGCGTACGGCTCGTCCTCCGAAAGCTTGTGCTTCAGCAGTCGTCTGTTTGGTCTGCCCCTGGCACGTCGAGGCGTAGGCTCGTGCCAAGTCCTGTCACTGCAACGTGTGTGAGGCCCCCCCCCCTCCCTCCTGCGGGCCCCACCTCCCCGCATGCACCCCCCCTTTCCCGAGCCGAGGCTCCCACGGGGGCGCGTCGTCTCCCCGGGGATCCCCAACCTTTCCGGGGCGTCCAAGACTGCCCGGAGAGGCCACCAAGGTCGCCAGGATGGCCAAACAATGCCTCAAGACGCACCCAAGGGACCTTCAGAAGCGCTCCAAAAGACATCCAACATGCCCCAGAATAGCCCCCAAGACCCTTTCGAGGAGGCCCTCGAGAAACAAACAAAAACTGTTTCCTCCTGTGCTCGACATGTTCCGCTTGCCACGCTCCTCGCCCGAGGGCCGTACGGGGCCTGCTGCTGGGGGCCTGGAAACAATCCGTCGGCGGCGAGGCAGAGTTGGCTGCACCAGCGCTAGAGCTAAACCACCAGCACCAGCACAGTCAACACACGAGGTCGCCTCGGCCAGGCGAAGATGATCCTGGATTTTGGTGCTGGTGATAATCGATCCCCAGGTCACCTAGGAAGCCCGAACACTGCCAACATCGCCAAGATCTGGGTCGCTCTCCATCGGCAGAGGCAACCGCAGATGCTGGTGTTGGTGCCAGCCTCGGGGGCTCCGACGCTGAGAGCCCCAGAGAAGTGGGGACGAGGGGTGCCACACGTGACGGCCGTCTGGGCGGTACACACGACGCCTCGCTGGCACGGCGGTAGACCTGCGCAGGCGCTCGGAGAGCTGCCCCGGGCAGGCCGGGCCGGCGGCGACCGAGACACCAGCCCGTCGGCGGTGCGTGCCCCGAGGGGCCGCCGCTGCAAAAGAAGGGGTGGGTCGGGCCGGGAGGGGGGCGCGCTCCCAGATGATGAGAGACAGAAAGAAGCTGGTCTTACGCAGGAAGACATGGCGACCCTTCCCACAAGATGGCACCCAAGGCCCCCCAGGAGGCCCCAAAGAGGCTCCCAAGACGCCCCCAGAGGGCCCCCCAGGACCCCAGGAGCCTCCAGAAGGCTCCCAAAGGCTCCGAAAAGAGGCTGGCCCCGAGTCTTACGTCGGGCACGTCGGAACTTACGCGGGCCGCCCGCGTGTCACACCAAGTTCGGCGGTGGACAAACCTCCCTTTAGTAAACCTCCCCTTAGTGAAAACGGCCTGGAACCGAAACCGACGGACCTTGACCCGCAAAAAATGACGGCCGCGACGCCCTCTCGCGAACCGAAAACGGCCAATTCCTTAATCGACGTGTCATGGTAGGAGGTCTATCCACCTCCGACAAGTGTAGAAGAGGGCGCTTGCGCGCGACCTTGCGTAGGAAGCTCACGCGCGAAACTCGACTCGGTCGACCCCGTTGCCTTCGGCCGCTCGGATATCCGAGGGGCACGCGCTTGCTTTCCACCCGGGTGGGCTCCCGAAACTGCGGCCCCCCGGGCTCGTGGCCGGCCTCCGAGGCCATCGAACGCGGATCCTGGACAGCAAACGGGGGTCGGGAGCTCGTGAGGGGCGCGGCCTGTGCACGACAACGCGTCAGAGGGCGTCTGGCTTGGGGGCAAGGCCTCGCCGCGCAGGGCCCCCCGAGCCAGCGCGTGGCCGCCCGAATCTCCGGAGGCCCGCGCGGGCTCCTGAAAAGAGGGAGGGAGGAGGAGGAGGAGGAGGAGGAGGAGGAGGAGGAGGAGGAGAGGAGGAGGAGGGAGGAGGAGGAGGGAGGGAGGAGGGAGGAAGGAGGAAGGAGGAAGGAGGAAGGAGGAAGGAGGAAGGAGGAAGGAGGAAGGAGGAAGGAGGAAGGAGGAAGGAGGAAGGAGGAAGGAGGAGGAGGAGGAGGAGGGCCGGCCTCGGGGAGGAAGGCCCCTGAAAAGAGAGAGGGAGGCCCAGCACTGGCCCGAGGGATCCGCGCCTGCAGGCGACCTCCGAAGCCCCCATCCCCACCGACCATCGACTCCGCCGCATCGGCGGGAGGCGGGGGCAGGGCTCGGACTTCCCCGCGCGCTCCAGGAGTTCCGAACCCCACCCCCGCCGCCCATCGAGTTGCCCGAATCGTGCGCCGGACTTC